AGAGGAGGAGGCTGAGGTCCCCCACTAGTATAGTTTTGCTGTCTATTTTTTCCTGTAACACTCTTAACTTCTCCTCTAGGAATTTAGATGCTATACTACTTGGTGCATATATGTTTAGTAATGATATTACTTCATTATCTATGGTACTATTTACCAGGATGTAGTTTCCTTAGTCATCTCTTTTAATTAGATCTATTTTTGCTTTTGCTTTGACTGAGATCAGGATTGCTACCCCTGCTTTTTTTACTTCAGTTTAAGCATAATATATTCTGCTCTAGCCTTTTACCTTTGCTCTGTGTGTATCCCTCTGCTTCAGATGTGTTTCTTATAAACAACATATTGTAGGATTATGGTTCTTAATCCACTCTGCTATCCATTTTTCCATGTTATGGGAGAGTTCATCCCATTCACATTCACAGTTATGATTACTATCTGTGCCTTCCTGTCCATCCTATCTCCCCTGACCCATTTATACTTTTCTCTCTCCTTTCTCCCTTTCTCTCCTCAATAGAGTTTTGCTTTCGACCACTGCCTTCCTCAGCCTGCCCTCCCTTCTATTAGCCCCCTCTCTTTTCTTCCTCTTTACCCCTCTGTACTTCTTCCCTCCCTTCTATTCACCCCCTCCCTTTTCTTTTTTCTTTCCTCTCCTATTTCCTATAGGGTAAGTTAGATTTCTGTACCTTCTGTAGATTATGTTTTTCCCTCTTTGAACCAAATCTGATGAGAGTAAGGTTCAAACAATGCTCATCTCCCTCCCTTCTTTCCCTCTGCTGTATTAGGTTTTTGTGCCTTTTCATGTGATATAATTTACCCTGTCTACCTCCTCCTTTCATGTTCTCCCAGTACAATTCCTTTTCACCACTTAGATTTTTTACCATCACATCAGTCAACTTATACCCTTGCCCTCTAAGTATACCCCTTTTAAATGTCATAATAACATTACAATTCTCAAGAATTGCAAGTGTCATCTTCCCTTGTAGGGATATAAACAGTTTGCTCTTATTAATAACTTTTTTTTTCCTGTTTTTATGCCTCTGTTGAGTCTTGTATTTGAAGGTCAAATTTTCTATTGAGCTGTGGTCTTTTCACAGTAAGGTTTGGAAGTCTCCTATTTTGTTGAATGTCCATCTCCTTCCTGAAAGATTATGCTCATTTGGATAGTTGATCCTTGGTTGTACTCTAAGCTCCTTTGCCTTACGGAATATTGTATTCCACATCCTCTAATCTTTTAATGTAGAAGCTGTAAGGTACTGTGTAATCCTGACTGTGGTTCCATGATATTTAAATTGTTTCTTTCTGGCTGCTTGCATTATTTTCTCTTTGATCTAGTAATTTTGGAATTTGGCTACAATAGTCCTTGGCGTTTTCAATTTTAGATCTCTTTCAGGAGGTGATCAGTGGATTCTTTTGATGACTAATTTACCATCTGGTTCTAGGACCTCAGGGCAGTTTTCTTTGACCTTGTCAAGGCTCTTTTCTATCATGGTTTTCAAGTGGACCAATAATTTTTAAATTGTCTCTCCTGGATCTGTTTTCCAGGCCAGTTGTTTAATCAATGAGATATTTTACATTTTCTTCTATTTTTTCATTCTTTTGTTTCTGTTTGACTGATTCTTGCTCTCTCATAGAGTCATTAGCTCCCACTTGCCCCATTCTAATTTTTAATGAGCTGTTTTCTTATATTGGATTTTGTACTTCCTTTTCCATTTGGCCCATTTTACTTTTTAAGGACTTGTTTTCTACAGTTAATTTTTGTCCTTCCTTTTCCAAGCTATTGACTCTTTCTTGCACACCTCTAATTTCTTTTCCCAACTTTTCTTCTACCTCTTTTATTTCACTTTTTAAATCCTTCCTGAGCTCTTTCAAGAAGGCTTTTTGGGCTTAAGACCAGTTCATATTCCCCTTTGAGGTTTTAGATGTGGGTATATTGATAATGTTGTCCTCTTTTGAATTTGTGCCTTGATCTTCCCTTTCCCCATAATAAGAATCTATGGTCATTGTCCATTTCTACTTTGCCTATTTCCTGACTTAAAAAAAAAAAGTTGAGCTCTCCTGCTGGAGTGAAGGGGGCACTTACCCAAGCTTCTTTTCCTGCTCACCAGGGCCTTGTGCTTGAATGTCTGGCTCCTGCTCACCCAGGCCTTGCACAGGGATGTTTTGCTGCTGGTGAATGTCTCTCGGCCTGGAGTTTTGCCTCCTGGAGTTGTGCTTCCTGGAGTTGTGTTGAGGCACCAGGTGATTTGGCTGCTGGAGAACACCGTCACCCGTGGTGGTTTTCCAAGCTGATGTCTACTGGTTCCCCTGCCTGTATTGAGACTCTCGTGGGGTCCTGGTGTTGGCACTTGCCTGCTCAACCAACCTGGGTCTCAGTATCTTCCCCTGGTATGCTGAGGTGGGGCTTGCCACTGGCTTGCTGGGACACCTCCCAACATGTATTGCTTCCCCCTCCCCCAGAGCTAGAGCTATGCCTTTCCCATTAATCCCCCAAAGTTCCTGGGCTACAAGACTGCAGTGCCCTGTCGTTTTGCTGGCTCAGGATTTTTCCTGGGTCAATATTTTATGGGCTGTCAAAGATCAGTAAGGGAGGGTGAGAGCAACTTACTCCACCATCTTGGCTCCCAGAGCCCTAAAAAATCTCCACTACAATACACCACTACAATCATCCCCCCTTTGCTTGAAGATTTCCTTTGAAGGAGAACCCACTACCTCCCAAAATAGGCCATTCCAATTTTGGATAGTTCTCACTATAAAGGATTTTTTCCTTACAGAAAACCTAAATTTGCCTCTTTTGTAACTTCTACCCATTGAGCTTGGTTTTACCCTCTAGAACCAAATGTAACAAGTATAATCCCTCTTCCAAATGACAACCTTTCAAGTACTTGAAGACAACTATCATGAATCCCTAAGTCTTCTCCAGGCTGAACATTCCCACTTCCTTCTACTGTTCTTCAGAGAGCATTATATCAAGGAGGTTCACTATCCTGATTATCCTACTCTGAACACTCTCCAGCACTGTCTTTCTATTTTTGTTTGTTTGTTTTGGAGGCAGTTGGGATTAAGTGACTTACCCAGGGTTTCAAAGCTAGTAAGTATCTAAAGCCAGATTTGAATTTAGGTCTTCCTAAGCTCTATCCACTATCCACAATTCAGGTGTTCTATCCACTGTACCATCTAGCTGCCCCTCCAGCAGTGTCTTTCTTAAACTGGGGGGGGGAGGCGTGGCAATCTCCAGTCATCCTGATCTATATCTTGCCAGTGGACCCAGATGGGTCGGGAGGAGAAAGTGAGGCAGGTGACTTTGCACAGCCCTCACTCACTTAAATCCAATTCACTTGAAAGTCATGGCATCACTTTCCTGATGTCATGGCCCTCTTCTAGAACGCAGGACAAACAACAACAACAACAATCTTAAACTGTTTTGCCCAGAGCTAAAGACAATACTCCAGGTGTAATCTGATACAAAGTATCACCTCTTTAATCTTGGACACTGTACCTAACTTAATGCAGCCTAACATTGTGTAGTTTTGTTTTTTGGTTTTTTTTCTTCACCATGCCATAATTTTGGCTTATATTGAGCTTATGGTCCACTAAACCCCTCCCCCAGACCATTTTCAGACAGATTGCTATCTAACCATACCTTTCTTAATTTGTGCTTAAAGTTATTTTTTTATCTTAGCTACAGACTTGAAATTTAATAAGGACAAAGACAATTTTATTATGTTCAGCCAAGTGTTAAAATTATTAAGGATCCTGGATCTGTCCTCTGGTGTGTTTGCTAGCTCTTCTAGCTTTATGAGTGCAGATTTGAGATGAATACTATCAGTGCCTTTACCAGTTCATTGATTAAAAATATGAAACAGCATAAGACCAAACACAGATCCCTAGGGCATTCCAATAGAGATCTCATTGCAAGGTGACATCAAACCAAGGCCTCAAAAAGTCTTTGAGTGACAATTCTACCACTTCCAAATCCATCTGATTGTTCTAGCATCTTGCTCATGTCTCTCCATCTATTCCACAAAAAGCACATGCTATGTACCTTATCAAATGCTTTGTTAAAATCTAGGGAAACTATATTCATACCATTTCTTGGGATCTACCCTTTTGCAACTATCAAAAAGGGAGATAAGTTAGTCTGGTACAACCTGTTTCATGCTAAGGAGCTGTTGGTTTCTTAGGATCACAGCTTTCTTTTCTAGATACGTGCTAATAATCTCTTTAATATGTTGTAGAATTTTGTTTTAATAAACAGTTTCATGAGTTGCTATGGCCAAAAATTGTATAACCTAGTGGCCAATCTTTAGATGACAAGCATTTCTGAACTTAGGTAAGCTGATCCTGGGTTGCTAGATACACAGTCCATAGCTGAGTCCATACTGAAGGCCTTTACACCTCAGGAGGAAACCAAATGAGCTTCCATTCATTGCTGGCATATGTTTAAGAACCCAACATCACCTCTGACATAATAAGAATCTGTAGAGAACACTAAAATCAATTAAATTATGTATTGCTTCACAGGTGTAAAGTCACAGCTTACAGGCCAGGAATGGTGCTTCTGTGTAACACATTTATGGAATAGAATTAAATGCACAGTTTATTATTTAGATACTCTCATAATTAGAAAAATCAAAATATGTTTTATGTTAATTCATTATTGTCATTGCCAGGAAAATATCTTAATTTGCATTTTGAAGAATGGTGTTTACAAGATCTTCCAGAAATCCTTTTTTTTTTTAAAGCTCTGGGTTAAGGGGCAGCTAGGTGGCACAGTAGATAGAGCACCAGCCCCGGAGTCAGGAGGACCTGAGTTCAAATCCTGCCTCAGACACATAACACTTACTAGCTGTATGACCCTGGGCAAGTCACATAACCCCATTGCCTAGCAACAAACAAAAAACCAGAGCTCTAGGTTGAATTCCAAACAGTGTCCAAAGTATAGTAAGGACTCTTTAGTAAATTAGGAAATGGTTATTTTAAAGCTTTCTTGTACTTCCTTCTAGCTTGCCACAGTACGAAGGCTGCTTTCTGAAAAGGCCACTCAAGTAAATACCAGAGATGAAGATGAGTACACACCTCTCCATCGAGCTTCGTATAGTGGGCACTTAGATGTTGTCCGAGAGCTGATTGCCCAAGGGGCAGACGTTCATGCAGTGACAGTAGATGGCTGGACTCCCCTACATAGTGCCTGTAAATGGAACAATACCAAGGTGGCATCTTTCTTACTTCAGCATGATGCAGATATCAATGCTCAAACAAATGGCCTGTTGACCCCCTTGCATCTTGCTGCAGGAAATAGAGATGGCAAAGACACCCTAGAACTCCTTCTGATGAATCGTTACATCAAACCAGGCCTAAAAAATAACTTGGAAGAAACAGCATTTGATATTGCCAGAAGGACCAGTATCTACCACTACCTCTTTGAAATCGTAGAAGGTTGCACAAATTCTAAACTGGAGTCTTAAACATTCTGATAACTTTAATCAGTTTCTGAGTAGCTACAACTCCTTTGGATGAAATATAAAAACATTCCAGAATATGAAATTTAATTCTAAGAAGATATTTTGAAAACATTCAATAGTATTTATTCCAGGTGATAGACAGATTCACTGTCAAAGTGTATATGAAAGGGCTGAGGGGTTTTCTACTATTTATGTCTATGTGGTAATTTTGTGATATGGTCAAACATAACTAGCTTACCTGTACTTTCTGTACTTCAAGTGTCATATTAAAATGTGTCATTTTGGGTGTTAAACCAAATAAAATGCTTTTTAAAACATCCCATATCCTGGGTCTTTATTCACTATTTAGTATGTTGAGTTTTATATTTAAAGCCTGTTAGCCTAATTCTGTCCAGATAAAATTTGAAATACTCGTCCCTCTGTGAGATCCTATGGTTGTTACAAAATCATTGCAGTGTGGTATGGAAGGAGCATTAGACTTCAATTAAACAAATATTTATCAAGTACCTACCACTGTGTAAAGCAGTGGAGATACAGAAGCAAAAATAACAGTCACTGATCTCAGTGAATTTTATCTACTGCGTATGTGCAATATATATACATGTATTTTAATATGAAATATTTCAGCAGGGGGAGAACACTAAGAATTGGGAAAAAGAAAAGGCTTCCCAGAAGAGAAAATGAAATGAGCTTTCCTGGTCAAAAATCTTCAGGAGACCCCTGTTTCCTCTGGGATAAAATGTCTTCTTAGCCTGATATTTACATAATCTGGGTCCAACCCAGACTCACTTCATATTAGCCTACTCAGTGCAACGTGTTTTCCAGCCAAACTATTACTAGCTGCTCCCCAAACTTGACATTGCCATCTCCTACCTTCTTTGCCAAAAATAACCAATAATGCATGTCCTCTTGATCTACTTCTTCAGGGCTGTTATCTTCTTCGAGGCTCAACTCAGGTTCTAGTTCTTCTTTGTAGTTTTCCTTTATCTCCAGTAGGAGAAAGTACCCTTTGTCCTTTAACTTATCACACTCTCTACCGTGTAGCCTCCTTGTCTGTGTATATTATTTCTTCTGCTCCCCCATTAGAATGTTAATTCCTTGAGAACACTGACTTTCTTGTTTGTCTTTATATCCTTAATACCTAACACAGTGCCTGGCCTATGGAAGGTATTTCATAAATACTTGTTAAATTGATTTAAGAAAAGTCCAGAGAACACACAGTTATTCTGAAGTAGTTGTTCTTGTATAAACTCAGAATGAGCTTCCTAGGACAACTCCAGTTCCTATACTATATGCCTGCCCAATCTTCCTTTTCTGCCTCCCTTGCACAGAGATGATAGAATCATAGATGTAGAACTGGAAAAGACCTTAGTGGCCCTTATTTTAAAGATTAGAGACTGAGGCCCAGACAAGTGAAATTACTTGCATAGGTCACATGATAGAAAAAACACAGAGCAGGATTTAAATCCAGGTCCTCTACCCCCAAATCTAGCCCTTTTGCCACCAGTAGTTTCAGTGACTTTTGGAGCTGCTCTGGAATGAAGTATGCCCTCTGAGAAAGAAAAAAAAAAAGCATTACTAATGCTGTACTCTCATATCCAAAATATTTCTGGCTTGGAGAAAGAAATGCCTAACTGACATAGTTCCCAATGCCCTCCTACATGACTTTGTTGTTATTGTTCAGTTGTTCAGTTATGTCTGACTCCTTGTGATCCCATGGATCATGCTGTCCATGGGGTTTTCTTGGCAAAGATACTGGAATGGTTTGCCATGTCCTTCTCTAGGGCCAATCTTCCATGCTATCCTTTTGATCTTTTCCCTTGTAAGATCTCTAGCCTTCTAGTAAGGCCCACAGCCTTCCTTACATGATTTAAAGCTGCTAAAGGAAATGTTTTACTCTGGCATAACATAAAGCTTATCATATATAATATACAAGGTGGCCACCAACACAGACATGAACAGATATTCACAAATACTACTTACTGCGTCTGACAAAGTTGTCCTTTCCAAAAATCAGATTACGTGAGCCTACATCAGCAAAGCTTAAGTCTGCAAGGCAACTCTACTCCTAAAAACTCTTATATGGTTTTAAATGGTTCCTTACCTCTATTTAGTTGGCCATGAAAGTCCTTTAAAGAGAAGCAGTCTAAGGCCCATGTCAGCTCCTATTAAGTGTAGGAATCTAAGAAATAAAACTACTATTGAACTGCCAAATAAAAATTACTGATACTGTACTCTGTTTTTAGGCACGTTTGCCAGAAAAAAAAATATAATTAAACATCAATCTATTCCAAATATTTCTAGCTAGGAAAAAGAGATGTCTAAACCATGCTCTCTACCTTAAGATGATTTTAGGTAACATTCATAGAAATCTTGAACAAGAACAGGAAAGATACGTTAAAATATGTAGAAATATACCTTGAGTAAATATTCAAGAACAGTTGAGTAACCAAGTACCCTCTCATTCCCTCTAGGATCACTACAATCACAAACAAAGGAACCTCCTCCCTTCCATGGATATCTTAATCCTTTCTCCCAGGGAAAGAATGGTTCCTACTGCTAATCACTTCAGGTGGCTGGTAGGCTTAAGATGTATATGAAGCAAGAGTTACATACTTAATTCAAAAGAAGCTACTACTCTTAAGCCATTTTCCTAAGGAAATTGTCCTCAACCTATCTAATCCACCTTTCCAAAAGATTTTTCCCAGGATTTCAGAAAAGCCTTTTTAGAGCAGAGAAATATTATTTCTTAACATTTCTAGAGAAACTAAAAAGGAGGTTTTTAATATCCATTCACACCTAGCTATGCCTTTCCTTCTGATTTTCAGTTGTCAGGATACAACTGATTGTTGTAAAATGACCCATCCCACTGTCCTTCCATAGGTCACTAAACTGTCAAAGAACCTACAAAATATAAAGCTCATTCTGTGAAAGCAGCTTCCTTTGAAGTGAATGAAGGCTTTGAGTTCATAAACTGCCAGGGTATTAATAAAATGAGAATTATTAGAAATACTTATTTTCCAGGGAGAATGTGCACAAACTCCTTATTTTGTAGATCCAACATACCAAGTGCAATTCCTTAATATCTGTCAATTGTTAAATTCTCCTCATCCTAGTAGAAGATCTCCTGTCAGTTCATATTAAATAAACAGCATTGTTTGTTTTGGGATCATGTCTTTAATGATCCACTAGAACCTCAGGTGCATTTAATCATCCTTACTTTGAATTTATCAGCATAATTACATCCTCCACATGATCCTCTGATGCCAACAGCACAGGAAGTCATATAATGAAAGTAAAAACATCCCAAAAAAATCTAAAATTAAGCCATAATCTACATGGTTTCATTTTCTGCCTCCTTTCCTACTATATAGTATGTTCAGCAGCCATTAACTATACATATAAACCAAAATAATAAAGTGATGAAATAATGTTAGTTAATAGCACATTTGGCATGATCATTAGAATAGGATAAGCAGTGGAGTTCATAATACAGATACTAAAGTCTTAGAACAGTTTTGTAATGCTGAAGTAAAAACATATACTGAATACTCCAGAAGGAGATTCAATTGCCCCAGCTAGCTAGCACCTATAGATTTAAATCTGTTTGGTTTTGCCTGTATTTTCTGGTCAACAAGAGCCATGTCTCTATTAGGAAGTTGTCTGACAGGGTTAGAAAACCCATGAAATTCCCTGTTAATGTTCTGATGGCTAAAGTATAACTAGTCTGCATCCTTTTAGAGGTTATGGTTCAAGAAAACAAACTTTTAACAGCCTTGGAATCCTAAGTCCCTCAGTTTTTCCAATTCCAAAACTCTTTTGTTCTCCCATACAAATGTGTAGGAAGGGGTAAAGCAAAGGAATAAAATTAAACCCAAAAGCCAATATCATCTTCTTTCCTCTTCCTACCTGCATTCCTGGTCTTTTATACTTGCAGGTAGCTGACAAAGGTCAGCTTTGAGTCCATCCTGCAATATGGAGAAAAAAAGAACTTCAAAAGAATTTCTAAACCAATGCTTTTAATCAACTTTTGAATTACCTCTATTTCTGCAAAATAACTTTGTGCATTTAAAATTTTATAGGGGGGCTCCTAGAAAGATGTTGGAATGAGAAGTAGGTAATCTATGGTCCATCTCCCTCTCTATTGTTCAGTCGTTTTCAGTCATGTCTGATTCTTTGTGACCCCATTTGGGGTTTTCTTGACAAAGATACTGGAGTGATTTGCCATTTTCTTCCCCAGCTCATTTTATAAATGAGAACACTGAGGTAAACAGGGTTAAGTGACTTGCCCAGGATCACATAGCTAGTAAGACTGGATTTGAACTCAGGAAGATGAGTTTTCCTGACTCTAAGCTTGGCATTCTATCCATTGCACCATCTAGCTGCCCATCTTACCCTCTACCACCCAAATAAACCACAAAGATGCCACAAACTGGAACAAATACAATGACAAGAAAAGAAAAATTAAAAGAACGTATTACAAAATAATTCCTAACAAAAAAAAATTACTGAAGACTACTCTACCATCTGTTGTAACCATCTTTGTACACATAGACAATTCCCTGACCCAATGGCAAAGGATATCCCCAAACGTTTTATTACACCTACAGAATTAGGCTCTAAATTTGCAGTGTCAATGTCCCATAAAGGTCACTCCTCCCATGCTGGTTGAAGCCTATGAATCAGACCAAACCTACTTAAAGTAAAGGAAAAAAGAGGCAACTGTGGAAGACTGGAGCTAGAGTGGGAGAAAGATTGCTGGAGGTTAAGAGGTCTGATAGTCAAACCAGGGAGTTGAGAAAGAACTATTGACCAATTTTACTAATGATGCAAAAATTTTCAACGAGCTCTTCAGAAGCAGACTAGGTAACATATTCAGAAAATAATTTATTGTGACCGAGTTAGACATAATAGTGATACAAGGATGATTCAACATTAGGAAAGCAACTAATATAATTAATCATATAAAAAAACTATGATTATTTTAACAGATGAAAGAAAAGGCTTTGACAAAATATATCCATTTATGTTTAAAAAAAACACCTTAATTAGAAGCATAGACATAGAAGGGCTCTTTTTTAATATGATCAAAAGTGTATATCTAAAACCAATAGATGGCTTATTTGCAATGGAAAAAGACTATAAGCTCTCCTAGACAAACAAGGATAATGCAAAGATACTCCCTATCCCTACTATTACTTGACATAGTTTTGGAAATATTAGTTATAATAATTAGACAAGAGAACAAGATGTAAGGTATAGGCATCAGTGAAGAAGAGAATATTATCCCAATGTATACATATAGTGTTGTACTTAGAAAGC